GGTTACCTCACTATATCAGGTTAGCCGGTAGTCAAAAAATCAGATGCAGTGACCTTTGAAACCGTCTGTTTGGTGCCCTAGTTTTAAACACAAAATAAGGACTCTAACAAATAGACAACAAATTGTCTGGGTTCGTTTCCCAGCCCAGGGTTTTTCTGCATGGAGTTTGCATGTTCTCCCTGTGCATGTGTGGGTTCTCTCTGGATATCTCAGCTTCCTCCCAAAGTCCAAAAACATTACTGGTAGGTTAATTGGCTTTTCTAAATTCTACTTAGGTGCGAGTGTGTGCGCGAATAGTTGTTTGTCTCTGTGTTGCCCTGCGATGGACTGGCAACCTGTCCAGGGTGTACCCCGCCTCTCGCCCGTAGACAGCTGGAGATAGGCACCAACAACCTGATGGAAAATGGATGGATGGATGGACATTTAGACAGGCATTATAAGACCATACAGTTTGTTTTTGTATTTTCTTTTAGCAAAAAAATTTATTTTAGGGTAAGCAGTCCCTTCTCAAAACACTTTCCACCCCAAAAAAGATTTTCTTAAGTCGACATTCCATTTATTCAGCTGCTTTAAAGAAAATTCCATTCACACCGTGTGCATCCACACACCGTGGATGCACATGCATACAGGATATAAAATGTGGATACTAGCCACTCACACAGACAGCACCTGTCAGCTGGTGTTGTGGGACAGCCAAAGGCTTGTTTGTTTTCTTCCTCTCTGATTCTCTCTCTCTCCCTCACTTTCTCCCTTTAGCACACTGTGTGTGTGTGTGTCTCTATTTAAGGGTCTCCATTTTTTCCTACTCAGTACCTCCTCACCTCTCCACCTGCTGTTCTTTCCTTCAGCATATTCCACCTATCTCTCTTCATACCAGACCATCATACTTCCATACATTAGATCTCCCCCTCTCTGCACCTGGGACTGAAAAAACAGCCTCTCTGAGTCTCTCTCTGCCTCCCTGCTCATTATATCCCAGAGGCAGCCACTCGTTCACTGAAAAAGGCCAGAGATAAGCTACAAGTATGAGTACATCAGTGCTCTGCATGAATGCCATACCCAGACTCTGTGACTTGGGCATTTTAGAGTCAAATAATGAAATCAGCAAGGCTCCATCTTCAGACGAAGCGACCTCACCACTTTATCTCCCAGTCCCAGTTCCAAAGCACGATAGGGGCCTCAATATCAAATGAGGAAACCAATCATCAATGAGAAAAAAGGAAAAGAGGAAAACAGTGCAACAAAAATATATTTTTATGGATTAAATATACAAAGATCTTTTACAGATGGAGGGTGAAGGTGAATAAAAAGGCTTTCATGCAATCAGCAAAAGCACTGGTGAATATGAAGCACAGAATGGAACCCTTAAAAGTACCCAGGTTTACAAATCTTAAACATAAACAGCTCCTAATCAGTAGTGGCAAGCAATTAATTTGGCATTTAAAAAAAATGAAAGCTTTACTTTTCAGGGCAAAAGGTTCTTAACTTTAAGAAATTTTTCCAGCAACATTACAGTTTTCTTGCCTGTCTACAATAAAATAAAGTGCAATAATGATAGGAAATTTTAAAAAGAAGATATTTATAAAGATTTATTTGACTGAAAATTACAAAGTTGCATTGCTGACAACTGTTTAACACTATAACGCTATAACTGTAAAATATCTGACACATACACAGTAACATTTTCTAACTTTCCTAAATCCTAAATTATTATAATATGATGTATTCAGATTTTGTTGGAGCTGTGGGAGACTTTTTTTAGGCCAGGTTATACATTTTATATTTTGCATGATGCTGTTGAATTAATAAAGGTTTTCATACAGTTTAATTCTAGCCCATGCCTAATCTTAAATAAATACCATGTTAATCCTAATTCTAGATTTTTTTATGAGGTGTAAGAGATTTTTTTTTCCTAGTTTTCTTCAGTGTTGCAGTTTTACTGATTAGTTTATGTAAGTAAAGGTAGATATCCAAACAGATATACAGGAAAAACCTAAAAAAAAAAATTTTTTATATCTATAGTGTGAATGCAGACAGGTCCACACATATGTAAGGCTAAAAACAAAGATCATTTGCCTCTTTAAAAAAAGAGTAAACTCTAGACTTCAGAGAAAGAACACAGATGCAATATCTGTATGGACCATCAGCTTTGAAAACTGTATACGGTAAGTTATATTTTCACCAATTCGATGTAGTAATGAAGAAGTACAATCAAGTGTTTCAGGAGTGGATGACAGAAAGACTGACATAATTAGAGCAAACATTAGATTTTTTTCCCCCAAGTAACTGGCAACAGTACAGCAAAGAAAAGCAGCCTCCAGAAAAATCAATAGGGACATAGTGAGAGTGAGGAGATAAGGAACCCCACTATCATCCAGAGATCAATGTCTTATCACTTTGACATGTTTATTGATGCACAAGCAGAGCCGGCTGTACAGCAATGGTTTCAAAGCAGGCAAAACTAAATTCAAACTAGGAACGCTAATTAAAATCTATTCTAATTTTCATACTTGAGATAAAATATGATGCAACCATATGGTGGTTTGGTACACTATAATGTGTTTTGGTATGGGTAATATTGAAATTTGCCATAAGTAGGGAAAGAGATCCAGTATTGGTGTCAGGTTCTTTAGAAACTTGTTTTTTCTAAAGTGAATCTTATAAAATGTGCGGTAGTATCATCTGCAATAATCCCTTTGTTCAGCACAATATGAAAAAACAACATCTACCAGTATACTTAATATCCGTAAAGCCTCTCTCTAATTTGCTGTGATATTTTTCTTATTAATTTGCTTTTAAGTTTAATGTAAATTAAAAAAATAAGTCGCTGAATTGAAATGTTAAAGCTCCAGTGAGTCCGTGTGCTGCTGTTTTTGTTCCTGCGGAGGGCCTTTAGGGTCCCACTTCATGAATCTCTGCTAATAGCTGCATGTAGAGTCTATCAGGTTGAAATATGACAGTGTAAATCTATTTAATGTTGTAGGTTGACCTAGAAAAAAGACACTTACTGTTTCTCTCCTAATTGAAATAATAGAGAGGTGTTTTTTTTCTCTTTTTTTTTTCACACATAATGTGTTTTTTTTCTTTAACCTTCGGGTTAGAAGACAGTCACATTTGATCTAGGTCTTATCTATTCATTCATTACAGCAATCACTTATAAGCACATCCTCCTCTTTTACACATCTTGCCTTGCAATGTATTTAGCTAAAAAACATAAGCTTTAAAAATAAAAAGACTCAGTTGAACACAGCGATGGAGCTTGTGCTGCACCTTGCAAAATTATTCATATTCTATGACACAAAGGAAAACACCACCGTGAGATGGAAGAATAATGCTGCATGACTTAGGCCAGTTTTTAAAATGAAGGGCCTGAAAAGCGCTGTGGTATACGTGTGCAGCTGTCTGATTCTGTACTTTGTAGAAACATTTTTAGGTGGAATTGTAGCTGCAAGTCTTTTTGGTACGACTCCGACAGCGTTGCCTGTGAAAAATGTGCATATACCTCTTTGAAAAACAGACTACAACTACTAGAGTGGATAGAAACCATTTGTAAACAATAAAGTTAAAGTTTAAGGATTGAAAAATAAATTTGGATTTTCATTTGCCTTTAATTATAGATTACGGCATCTTTCAACCATGGAAATATGCTTCTGCTCTAAACCATTCAATGAAATGAAAAAATACATATATAAATGATTCATATCTATAATTAAAATATAAATATATTTAAAATTGTATATATGCAGCAAGGATTGTTTATTTATATTTATTTGTGTTTCTTCAGAACTGTGCACCCAGCTACCCATTTCTAAATCTAAACAAACCTCAATTCACACCTTAGTCCGTAACACCTCTCATGAGGACCAGTCGTTGGTTCCCACAAGTATCTGTAGGTCCCCAAAATGTAGCATGTTCCTGGGAAATCATCCACACAGAGTAACAAAAACATGACCACACACACACATAAAACAGATTCAGATTTGAGGCTGTAATCGTAATAAATAACGTTAAAAATGTAAAGGGTGGAAATGCTTTTGCACGGCACGGTATGAATACAAATAATTATACTGAATAGCGCACAAAAGTTTTTATTGCCATGCTCCATCAAACCTTAATCCGGGCATACACCAATGTCATATTTTAAATTGTTGTACTCAGCCACAGCTCAAACTGTACAACAAAACTGCAGGGTTTAAAAATTCAAAGCTCACAATGCATGTTCTTACGCTGTACGGCCCAATGCTCTGATGCAATCTAAATGCTCACGCTGCACATCCAAAAACCACACGTCGGACTCAGCTTCAAGAGATGGCGTCAATCTGGTAGAAGAAGAACTCCCTTGTTTGCACATGCACAGTGCTCCATGTTCCGGTAAATCGGCTCGTAGACGCTCGTAGCTCTGCTTCAACAGCAGGATTTACCCATGAACACCTCATGAGGGCCGACCGAATTTCAACATGTTTGATCTTCTCCCGACCTCACGATTCCTGATTGGGATATGGTGGTGAAAGGCTGATCGCCCCTCGTTACCCCCTGTGTACTACACAAGGCAGGACGCAACATGAGGCTGAAACTCGGCCCAATCGAAAAAATTCTCACACAACTGGAGCCCAAAAGAGGGTAAAAAATCATACAATGTATGCCCGGCTTTAGTCCTGCTGTGCCACAAAGCCACTCAATCTTATAATCAGACTACAAAATCAAACAAAACATTGCATCACATTTTCATCTGTTTATGTGAGACACCCAACTAAACACTGCAGACCATGACCGGTATGATTATAGTTTTCCAAATACATGATAAAAAAAACTGACCAGAGACGTGCAGAACTTCCCTGAATTATATTAAGACAGGCAGCCATTTTTTTTACCTCCAAAGCAAAAAAACATTCAATAGCTTTAAGAAGACATGCAGGTTGATGAGGGAGAGATGTGTTTAAACTAGCCACATCAAAAAGTATACAGTTCTAAAAAAGAGAGAATCCATTGTCGTTACTCACCGAGGCCTGGTGGGTTCTCAGGACACGGTGGTAGCGGTTTGGGAGAAGGTGTATGATTGTTATCAGGCTGCGAGCTCGGTACCAGCTGTTCACCTGCGGCCAGGTATGGGGCTGAAGTCGCATTGGGTCTTGAGAGGTTGTAGTAGTAAAAATGATGACCGCTGGCTGCTCCACTGCTGTTATTCCTGGACCCATTTCTGCCATTATTAAAGCGGCTGAAGATGTCAAACCGCTGCGAGTAGACGTCAAAGTACAGGATCATCATGATGAGGAAGTGGAGCAGGCAGAGCAACAGGACGCCTTTGCAGATGCGCTCCAGAGTCCGGCCCAGCATCAACCGTGACATGGCAGAAGGAGTTGGCCGTCTTGTGACGGCCAGCCACGGCAACGCTGGCGTAGCTACGGGAATACACTCATCCTGTGGTTTCTGTGCGTGATAACAGCTGCTGTTAGTTCTCGTATGGGTTCATGTGGACTGTTGGTACTCTGACTTCAGTATGAGTCATGGGGTCACCAATGAAGAGAGGAAGACCACTTCTTCAGCTTCATCCACAATGTTTAAACTCTTCAAGACTGGCTTGATTGTGGTTAGCCTTCAGGTGTTGTTTTTGCATCACAAAGGAGCAAAATACTTTGAAAGGCATCTAGTGCAGAAGCTCTACTCCTATCAGTTCCACCATTTTTACCATTTCCACTTATCCAGACATGTAGATGTGTCAAGTGGCAGCTGAAGCTTTGGGATACTCCATTTTTAACACAGCCCAATTAGTCAAAAATGTGTTTTTTGCATTGAAGTTCTCCGAAAAAACAGTTAACGGATTGGTCACACAAATATTCATCTGTACAGAGGATCTGCTGGGAAGTCCATTAGAAAGTCTTTTTTTCTCATTGCACCACGAAGGTAGTCACAGACCTGAAGAAGAAAAGAAAGACAGTTGAGTAAGACTTTTGTAACCCTTACTAAGAAAAAGTCACCACTTTTTTTACTCAATATTGCATATCAATAAATACCTTTTTATACAGTAGCAAAGCAGAATAACATAAATCAATTAAACATAGAGATTTCAAAAAATTGTTTTATTCATTAAGGATAAAAAACTACCCAAAACTGTTTCCTCGTGAAATAATAATTAACCAGATTCAAGTTCATTGTTGACATCCAGAGCTGATTAAAGCTCAACCTGTAGAATCAAGAATTCACTATAATGGAACCTGTCTGACATTCAGTGAGATAAAAGATCTCTAAAACTATCAAATCATGTCCTAATATAAAAAAGAAATGCAGGACAAAAAAAAAAAAGCAAAGTCGCTGAAATTGATCTGTCAGGAAGCACCTAGAAAGTTATCCATAAGAAATGTGTATATTTGTAACCTATAGTAAGAGTCTTTTATATCCTAAAGGAGAATTTACATTAATCGGTTCATTACTCTTTACTTTTAGAGAAGTTGGATTAGCAGGAAGACAGCGATACACTTCATAAATTGGAATCTAATTAAGTCATTTTGTTCTTATAATAAGATAATATTTTCTTGAATTGTGGAGGTAAGTGGGGCACTTACCAATGGAACAAGACAATTTACATTTAAAATAAGAAGAAACAATTGCATTGTCTCATTTCAAGTGCATACTATCTATTTATCTTATTGTAAGAGTATATATACTTACTGCATTGGCAAATCATCTTATTTACCGCCTCTAATTAAGTGTAAATACACTTAATTTAAGAATATATTACTTATTGGTAGATCGTTTTTGCAGTACAGTACAGTTGCTCAAAATCTACACTAATGTTTTGGAATCACTAGTCAAAGTCTGGACACACTGATGCATGACCTTAAACAGGCTGGTCATGCTGGAGGCCTCTAATATGGTTGAATTAAACCATTTGTGCACAGTTGAATGAGCAACAGTTCATCAACAGCAACATCCAGATTCATTGCAAGTTATCACAAAGATTTGATGGCAGTTGATTCCATTATTAGTTGCACATGTTAGATGTACAAGGTTATTTTTTGGGGGGGTTAGGTTGGTTTTAAATTATCTATATTTGCTTTTTGGATTTATTGTGGTGTATTTGATTTAACATTTATCATGTGAAAATACTGTAAGCAAAAACATATAATGGCAAATACATTTCATATAAGGTCCTTCAATTTATTTGTCAAAATATTCCTTTCTGAAACCAGTTAAATATTTTCTTATTATGCTTACTGACAAAACTGCAGGTTGAATGCCATTAATTATGGAGGCATGTTTTGACTCAGACACTTCTTGTATTATTGGCTGCATAAAATCCAACCATACATCATCGATCTTTCACTGGCACTTAGAAAGCAGTGACCTTGTTCTTTTCGTCAATGTCTGGTTAAATAGCAAGAAAAATATAGAAGAAGAGGAATAAGTACACATGTGAATTTGAAGGAATATAAAGGAAGGAGAAAAAAAAACTCCACAATCGATAACAAAAGCATTTATAGACACAAACCAACCGAGTGCCTTGACTGGGGCAGTTCAGCCAAATTGACATACCAAATCAAATTTCCAGTCAAGTGGTTTAAAAGGCATTTATGATAAGAGGAGACTGCAAGTGGGAATACACAAAGCAATGAACATACAAGGGAAGGAGAGAAGGGATGGGGGCGGTGGGGAGAGTCACTTAGTTTATCCCCAGGAGCGAATTACTGAAGGTTTATAGCTTTTCCAATAAATGAGAGGAAAAGATGAGAAAGATAAATAGCCTGAATGATATCAGAAGCTCTGATGAAAACCACAAGCTCACACTATTTTCCATGCTAATAGCAGATATCTAAAGAATATTGGGTCTGATGTTCTGCAGAGGGGAGCATCATAGACATTCTCTGAAAAAAGCCTGAAATCATACACTATCAAAGATCTATGCAGGCTCACTTTATCGCTACTGCTTTATGTTTAGCAAAACAAGAGCAGTCCTCCACATTCTACTGAGATACTACAATCTAAACTTTAAGCAACATACATGGCATATAGCACAACGCTACAAAATGTCTATGCAAACTTCATAGTTACTAAATGTGGTGATTTCCACTGCCAACACATGGCTTCTACTTGACAATTGTATCTACTGAACAAAAGAATAAACTTTAAATACAAGAAAGTGAAGACCATTAATTTTTTTTTCACTTGGAAAAAGTGATTATACACACAGTGTAGAAATGTGTCTATACCATTACACCATTTCAACCATAGGTTATAAACCAACAGCTCTGGGTTAGGGGTAAAGTTGATCTGCTGTAAGGCTTCTGACCACCTCATCTGCAGGCTCCATTTTTTTTTTTTTAAGGTTGACCTGTTTTTGGCCATCTAACCAAAACATCCTCCTGCTGTTCCCATATTTTAATAGGGGGGTGCATGTTCAGGGCGATGTGCAACATTAGCTGTCTGTCTCTTACACTTTTTCACATGTTGACCAAAAGGTTTCGTTCTGGACTAACCTGATAAGTGCATGTTCTTCCTCATTACTTTTGGCTCCACATTTGTGGCAAACCGTAAACATTTTTCTTCTTCTTCATTTTAAAATAATAAAGTATGTTGGATTGAACAGCGTTCTGTTCGACAGCTAAGGATATTGCGTAGAGCTCACCTGCTGTAAACTTCATCACAACTTAGTTCCTTTATAGAACGGCTTTTTTCATAACGAGATTAAATAAACACACTTGGATTCTGTTTACTGGTTGAGGGACTTTTGATTTTATTCGATGGCACTTGACTTTTATTTAAGGACATCAAATCCTTTTATCAATTCAGGTCCCACACACAATTTATGCACCAGATTATGTTGATCTGTTCCATAAAATTCCATTAAAGTACACTAAATGTCATAGTTGTTTTTGACAAAAAGTGAAAAGATTCATTCACTATTACTGAATGAATCTTACTTTTGTTTGAGTGATTTGTGTTAAACGTAAATAAGAATGAGTGAATTGCACAACATCTCCATTGACCTATGGACCTATGGAGCAATATACATTTTACAATCTTACTTCACGTTTCCAGTAGATTTCATGAAAGTACAAATTAATATGACAAAACTTTAGAAATGTCCCAATGCAACTTTTTATTTCTGATACGATACTGATATATTACAGCTTTGAGATTTGACCAATATCAATATATCAATATTAATCATACATGCCTTTTTTTTTTTACCCTATTTTGTACTTAATATTTTTAGAGAAGGCTTGATCAATTGATATTACTAAACAGAGAACAGTCAATAACAATAGATATGAGAACAACTGACCCATGTTACAGAATGACCCATGTTATATTACCCAATGCGTTATAGAAGTTTTAAACAGAAGCAGAGTGTTTCTATCATTGTGCCAATATTGAAGATTTGAAAAGATCTGCAGGCTGATATAATCCGATAGTTTTTTGGCTAATATTGGACTGATATCCGATATTAATTTCGTAGCAGAAAACCCCTACAAGACTAGGCCTGTACTTATATAGCATTTTTCAAGTCAAGGGACTTCACAACACATCAAGCTATACACCCACTGATGATGGCAAACTACACTGTAGCCACAGTGGCCGTACACAGACACAACAGAGCCATCTGACCATCATCAGTAGGCAAAGCAGGGGAAGTGTCTTTCCCAAGGACACAACTGCAATGAAAGGAGGTGGGGTTCAAACCAACGACCCTCAAGTTAAGGACAAACTCCTGCTTCCTACAGCACTATTCCCATGTCACGTGTTTTATTGTCATGTGTTTGTCACATCGCCTTACCCAACACCAGTCTGAAAGAAAGAAATGCTTTAACCTTTTTTGTCTTTCAATGAAAAATCTCAGAGGAGCATAGTTTCCTCTGCAGCACAGGTACTGAATTGCAAAGCTCAGCAGGGAAACAGAAAAAAATCTGACAGAATTGAGGTCCTGTTTTGTTCAGTTGAACAGGAAGTCTCAAGGATCAGTGAAGACAGAATACAGATCAGCTCTTCCTTTCATATGGGGAACAAAAAAAACAACAAAAAAACATGAGCTTAAAATCAATTTTTCTCCCAGCATCTTCATTTCCTTATTTAGCAACCAAGTTGAAAGATGTATTTCTATTATTTTTTTGGTTTTTCAAATGTCATCTGATTCAAAATGCATTTCTCTTTAGGGTTTCTATCTGTGTATCTCTAAAGCAAAGGTCTGAAAATATCAAGAAGAGTCGAGCTCAGTCCTCACATACCTTAATATGTTCAAGTAAAATCAAAACAAGATGAGGAATGAATCTTTAAAGGCTGCGTAAAGTAGGGAGGGATGGAAACTTTGCGCCACTCAGTGAGAAATAGACCCTTTATGTAAGCAGTTTATTCAAGGATGCCTGTAACTCCCTTTTTAACAACAGCAATAAATTTCATAACAGAAGTCCATTATATCATGTCTGCCAAGGATCCCACAGAGAAATACTGCAATAATAACTGCCAGATTCTGTTTAAACTAAGTAGCAGTGCTGCTTCACCTTCATCATCACTATAGAAACAATAAGCTTATAAGAGTGGTGAGAAATAATGAGAGAAGTATGCTGCAAATGATAGTCTATTAAACTAGGTAAAATTAGTAAAAGCAAACAGTAATATAAGGTTTATATCCCATTTTAACTGATTAATAATCGTCGTAGAAGTTCCTATAAAGCTTGAAATGTAAATGCAGTTATTTTTACTACTTATTATTGTTTATTTATTATTATTTATTTCTGACTCAAAGGGAATAGAGCTGTGTGATATAGCTGAATAATCTATCACAATATAAGCCTCTCATGTCAGTCGAATTTGATAATCATCGATTATTGTTTTGCATTTTCAATAGTTGTACTCAGCTACAGCTCAAACTGTACGACAAATCCGCAGGGTTTAAAAGTTCACAGCTCACAATGTCTGTT